GTGGCCCGGTAGGTGCAAAGCAATGAGTGTTTCCTTTAGGAGTCAAACTGAAACTGATTTTAATGCATATCAGATGTGAACCACATCACAGTTTACTTGGAGCTGACTTCAAAAAGAGGGTTTAGTGGGACCAAATTCCCTCATGGTAAGTAGATGATCTATTTTTTTCCCCTTCTTATATTTAGAAAAATGCTGGTTTTCATTTAAATGCTTGATCCATGAGCTTAGAAATAACAGTAATTGTTTTTGGAGTTGATGATATAAATAATTGGGTAGTATTTTACACTAAGTTAAGGGAAATTTGACTAACTACTAGAGAGCCCCTAGGGAACTAACCAGGCCCTAATGGGTGGTTAATTGTGTTATTATGGGACTAGTGCTTAGGCACCTGGGGAACACAGAGTAACTAGGAACAAATGGGTAGCTTTACTTCACATAAGGGTACATAAAAACTATAATGGTCAGGTACTAATGAGGTAAGGATTAGTTCATTTGCAACTACCAACTACGCTTGACTCAACAAAGTCCATAAAATAATAGCTATGCAATAATTTGGTATTCAGTAAAATAATTTTTTTTCTAAGCTGTGACTTCACATGTTTAGGGTTTATTCTAAACCTACACTGAGCATTTCTAATTTAATTTGGCACTAATTAACCAGTAGTCACCTTGTAAGTACTAGTTAACTAACCTTTAGTTCCTTGTTAGTCCCACTTTTCTTGGTAACTTCATAATAGTTCCTGATCAGTTACTTTTGTTTCCTTGGTAACTACTTTTTAGTTCATGATTAATAAATTAGCAGTAGTCCCATAACAAGGGATGATTTGCATGCACCAAAAAGTATCAGTTACCTATTCATTAGTTCCTCTTTAGTTCTGTAGTAGTTAATACATTTTTGTTTTACCAATAGTTGTTAGATAGGCCTGGTGACATCACATTGATCACAGACTTCTATTGTAAAGTGAACTGAATGGACAGCATTTAACGTCACACTGTGATATAGGCATACATCTTATCTTCATTTAAACCAATCTGTATAAGATTTTGTCATGATGAAGCTGCTGATTTACACCCCTATTAAGCACAAGAGATGTGAAAACATCCTAAAATAGTGTTCACATCAGGGATCTACCCCAAGTGAACCAAATATTCCAGAAGACGACTAAATACAAAACTGAGTGCACTCAGGATGAATTGAGGACGATTTTCTTTAGAGGAGGCTTGGGGCGCTTGCATAATTTAGCTGTCTGAATGCAGGCTGACCTGCAAAGTGCTGCCAAACTACAGGCCTGAAAGGGTTCCCCTTTAACAACGGTCATCCGGACTGCTTTCCATAGACAAAATCCCCAAAACGAGCAGCCTACTGGTAGAATAGTGGAAGATTTATTCTGCTGTCTAGTTTAAAATAATATTCAATATCTAAACTCATAATGCTAGATAATATTGATCAAAGACTATTGTTATATTTTACTGGTGAGGGAATTTCTCCACAGTAACAAAAGCAGAAAGCTGTTTGCTGTTTTAGTGTGGGGCTTTTTATGGGTTAGAATGCACAGAAGGTGAGGTCTGTGAAGACCAACATCATTTCCCTTCCTCCTATTGTGTCCAAAAAGCTGCACAGGTGAGCTTGTAAAGGATTTATAACAGAAATCACTGTGTCTCAGGTGCATCTGTGGCTTTGCATAAACAGAAACAGATCTGTTGACTGCTAAACTGTGGGGACAGGGCTACATGTTGGTTTGCTTATACAGCAGATAGCTGATATTAATGCTAGATGTTGGCTGTTGATATGGGACTGTTTTATTTCTTGATCACTCACAATGCAAATTTTTACCAAATAAATCTCATTTGAAGACCTTGAGAAATGTGTTTGCATGGAGAGCATTATGAATAGAAATCTGGTGGCCTTGTTTACTAGAAATGGGTTATCGATGGGTCTCCCATAGGTAATGACCTAAAACAAGGAGCAAAATGAATCCAGAAATGGCTCTACAAACACAATTATTCCACAAGCCTGTTTCCATAACTCAATTCAGCTAAAACCTTTAATGCCAATTAAAAAAGACAGGTTTCATTCATCTAGATCTAGAGCGATTATGCAAATACGAATTCTCAAAGACTCTTCACTCAACCTTATTTTATTTATTCACCGATAACTAAGTGCTGTTTCATTAACAAATGGAGGTAACACAAAATACCGAGTCTTTGTGTTGCAGTATCTGTGCTCTTCCTTCAAATGGCAATTGGGAATTGTTAGGCATACAAAAATGCGTTTAAAACAAGTAGTTACAGTCTACTTGCACTTTTGATGTAAAATCAAGCTCCCAACAAAGAAAAGAGGTGTACAAAGCAGCAAGTGGCTTTTTGGACCTTAATGGCTGTCCTCATTTTGCCTTAAAAGCATTACATTTTAAAGTATCTAAAAGGACAAGCCCCTTGTGTAATTAAACATATCATATTCAAAGGGGTCCTAATTCACACAAAACAACAAACATAAGATAGATGCAACAACATATGTAAAAACATTAATACTGTATATACAAAACCTAACATAATGATATATATGGCCAATCTCACAAACATTCAAACACACAAAATACTCTCTATGGCAACACTTTAGCAACATTACAGCTATTAAAAATAATGCAGAGTCAAAAACAATTAAATCTACTTGTAAATGAAGAACAAGGTCATTTTCCAGGTTTCTTAATTAATGGAACAAGAAAATACTTTTAAATAGAGTGTCTAAGACTACATGTACAGGAAAACTAAATAAAAGAAGTCCAATTAAGGAACACTATGGATCACCTCTGTCTGTTCACTGAAAATCAAAATTATTATCTTTAAAGGAGACACTCTGTTAATGGTGAAGAGTTATATCAAATCAAAGGCCAAACAAGTGTAACTTTTCTAAAGTAAGCAACCATATCAAATACTTTAGTGAGGTCATTAAATAGAGATCCAGTAAACCAAGTGTTATGAAATCTAGTAAATATTCATAAGTGAATTTAAAAAGGACATTAAGGACCAATTTTTTTTAAATAGAGATATTTTCAGCTCTTCTCTCAAGGTTCATCTCCAAAAATCACACAAACATCGACAGCATTTGCATAACAACAGAAACGAGATATAACTAAAACCAAACACTTTGTAATAGAAATAGTCTAGACCAGATCGTATTTCTTGTGCACATTATTTGTATTTGCTTTTCTTTGTTTCTTTTTTTTAAGAAAGTTTTGTCATTGTTTGTCTTGTAGTATTTTTTGACGAATTTGGTCCCACACATTACTGAATTACTCAAAATTTCCCGGCCAATGCACCAATTGTGGAAGCTCATTGGTAGAATTCCCTTACAGTATGACAGAAAGGAGGGCACACGATTCACATCATTTAATCCTCCGGAGGGGGGAAACTTTAATTTAAATTCCGAATTCCTACTGCTGTCTTCAACACTTCATAAGTTAAGCGCTACATCGTCAGACATCTCAGTTTTCCCCCAACTCTCATTTCATCTCAGGCTGCTTTATAGTCTCAACATCGCATTACCTAAGTGCAGATGCACAATGTAATATCATGTCAAAGCTTACTGGAATTCACGTGTGCTGGTCGACGCCAGAGGTTGTTCTGACACTGGGAAGAATGTTTCTCCAGATGTTCCCCGTTTATATCAAAACCTCTTAATACATCATCTAATTGCGTACGAAACAGCCATTAGAGACCTTATTATTGCTAAGACTCATACTTGACCTTCAGCATGTACTGCTAGGATTATAAGGCCACGAATAAGGATATGTAAGGCAGTACAGCTGCTTCTATATCTGGCAAGCCAGCCAGATAATTCTACAACAACAGCAACAAATGCACCTTGAACTAGTTTTTTTGTGGATTAATTGCACAGATTTTATTCACAAAATGATACAAAAACAACAATTATGTTTTTAGACCAACATTATACAGAAATAACATTCAACAAATAAAATATATCCGTAGTCTTTTTTATTGTAAAGTCTAGAAAAAAATAAAATATTGTCCAAAATGTCTTTAAAAATAGCACATATCCTTTAGTATTTATATCAAAAATCATATAAATTCTCTTTATTTAGCTTGACTAACGCAGCTCTCTGGATTGTAAAGGTTGCAGATCTCTGACATGAATCAACAGTGTTGCTCTTCTGAAAGAACATTTTTGCATCTAAGCTTGCAAACATTTGAAACATGACAAAATGTCAGATGTAGAAGGAAATTGTTCTAATTTAGTTCTCAGTATTGGCAGATGAATGGCACTGACTCCAAATTTGGTTACTTTAATCTTTTTTAATACTTTCAAATAGAAACAAAGCATACATTACCGGATAAATGCTGCAGCTTTTCAGGAAAATTCAGCAGGCAGCACTACAAAATGTCAGCATGAGGTTTTACTTTCCCCCCTGCAGGTGCAATTCTCTCCACCGTTCAGTGGGTGACAAAGAGGAACATCACCTCGAGTTGAGTGCTTGGCACCAGACATAAACCTGGGGCTTTCACTACAAAGCAGGATTAAGGGCTACGGGAAGTAACTTCATATTCAGTGCTGGGTTTTAGAGTCATAGAAAAAGGTTTGCTTCACACTTCTGTTCAAATGGAATTATAGGTGGGTAAATTGCTCCTTTGATTTATCCATTTTATAAAAGAAAGAGGTGAAACAATAATGAAACAATTGATTTAGCAGCAAATAAAATAACCATCCTGTGTATTTATAACAATTTTCCAAAAAAAAAAAAAAAACTTCAGCCTGTGCTTTGATAATAAATTGACCATTCATTAGGTTATAAAGAATAACCTACATCAGTAGTGCCAATCTGGTTTTAGCATAAAATTGCTGTTAATAAATTAATACACAAACGTTTTGTGGTTTTACTGTCAGGAGTGCAAAGTTGCTGCGAAAAGCATCTCTTAATTCAGATTGTTGAGCAGCAACGCATTGCGAAATAAAGTTAAAGTCATGTCGGTTTGAGACTCACCGTAAGGACATCCATAGGCCTCCAATCGGAGTCCGATCCGCCCGACAGGGTTCCAGTCCAGGGGAATGAAGCGGAGGAAGCGAGCCACTGCAGGCTGATGCAGTTTGTACTGAACCACACTGTCTGCATTAGAGTTACCTGGAAAAAACTGGAAACACACAGATAAATATATATATAAACATTTAAGTAAAAAAATAAATCCATCATTGAAAAGTGTAAAATAAACATAATGAACTTGTATTATTATCCACAGTCTTCCACCTTTGTAGTAACTTTCTTGCAGGGAGACCCGAACCTCTCCCTCCCCAGCCACTTCTCAATTCCCTCATAGGATACCATATCTGTTCCAAGTCAAGAAAGGGTATCCCTTTAGAGACTTTTCTCTGACCTTGGGTCTCATTCTAGTGAGACATACTCAGACGAGGCACCAAGGAGCCAAGCTGAACAGATTTCCAAACCTTTTCAACATCCCTTCTGATGCAGAGGAGCAGTGGGTTTATTTTCCGCTCTATTAGGATAATAGAATCACCTCAGAGAACAACTTTATTTTCAGGATTTCTACCTAGAATCTCATTGTTAAGGCAAAAAGAAATACCAAATGAAGACGCTGGAGATACCAGTCAAGTGAGTAGTTCTTCTTTATCCTATTCATTTTGATTTTAACCCTTTGTAGGGCACTCAGTGAAATACTTTAAAAATCTAAATCCAAGTCAATAGTGTTATTGGAATCAAGAACAGGACTTACTACCAGGACAGACTTATTACCTTTGTAACATTTAAAAAATATGGATATTTTGATGGCAAAAATTTATGTCAATGTAATAACAACAAACGTCAACTTGACCGAATATATTAAGAAAAATAACAAACGTGCTTCTATAAGAAATCAGAAAATTCAGTAAAATAAACATTTTTTTTGCTACAACATAACCTTAGAGGTATATAATGCAGATACTGGCACTTATATTTTTTTAGTTTATAAACTTAAATATTATTGTTAACTAGGCTTATTAACTTTTTAACTTTACTTTTTAACTTTTCAATTAGCTTTTTACCTTTTTTCTTGACTTGTTAACTTTTTTTCCAAACTAAATTTAAAGTAGGCAATATATAATTAAAAGGCTCAGCTAATTGGTCAATTGCCAAAATAAGATGTACAGCCATGTAGTGGAATCTTAGCTGAATAGCTGGATATAGATCTTGTGCTTCCAGACCTCACTGAGGGATGTGGGGGACTCCATTTGTAAGACGTATGCAAGTGATCAAAAACAGCAACTTGCCTTATAAAGAGTTAAGGTTTTTAAAACAAATTCTATCTCAACGAAAAATAAATATTCAATTTATTTCAAAAAATAATCATCAAATCAATCAGATAAATACACACCCAATTACACACTTTCCTTTTTGAATTTACTGTCTTGTATCCTGATAGTTCAGAGTAACCTCCTTATAACTTCCTTCCATCTGATCATCTCATCTTCTACTGCTTCCATCATCCACTCTGGATAACATCCTGATACTTGAACCTAATACCCAAACCCTAAAGTTTCTTCCACTCATCACTTTGGCTTGATATTTAGTGGTACAGACTCTCATTCTGTACACTTCACACCCAGCTGCAAACCATTATGGTTCCTAAACTAGACACCTTCTAAACAGCGATGTGGAGCTCCATAAAAGCTAAATAAGATCAGAGACAAGGGGGGGCTACCCTGATGGAGTCTGACCTCCTCTGGATTAGGGTCCATCTTTGTGTCAGAGAAAACTCTGCACCTTAACCATTTTCCTTTTAGTTTTAACCTGGGAATTACTCCCACTTGACTGCCTGCGATGCACTGGTGACCTGTCCAGGATGTACCTTGCCTGTCCCCAATAGACTGATGGAGAGAGGCACCAGCCCCACTGCCATGGAAGGATGGATGGATGCGATCCTTCTCAGGGTTTATTGTCACTAATGGAAACTATATTTTATGAGAAATGCACAGATCACCATTGTGATACATTCTGTATAATCATTTTAATAGTTGACAACATATTATGGTCAAACCAAACAAACTTACATACAAGATTTCTTCTCATTAATAAATCTACAAGAACTTAAAGCTTACACTGCATTGCTAGCTTAATTATTTCCCTTTTTAGGGTTAGAGTTCCTATTAGGTAAATACTGCTATGATGCTCATAAAGTGTAGCCATGTCCAAACAACATCAGAGTAAAAAGAAAAATGACAAGTTAGAAACTGATCTCTGTAACTATGGGCTGAATGCCTATTGGGTTTCTTTCAGTTAATTTCTATTTAATATCCTCCATCTGGCAATCTCTCCTAATTGCTGACCTCCCATGTGGTTGACATGCAGGTTAACTAGCTCCCCCACTGCACATTAATGACTAAACATGTAATTAACTTATTAAATCCCAACTTAATAATGACAGCAGAGTTGATTCATCTTGTAATTAAAAGGATTTTACTGTGATTATAAAAAATTGGTATTTTCTTATATGTAAATCACAGTTAAATGACTAAATCAGTTTAAGATTCAATTGATACTTTTTTTAAATCACCAAATAGACTTAGACAACTTTAATCGTCATTTTGTATACACAGAGTTTTGGTTTCGTAATTTTGGTTACTAAACGAAACCAAAATTTTGTTTATTACAGCTTTCCAGGTAATAAAGAACATTTCCATTCCATAAGGTGCATTAGTGGTCAAATGTAAACAGTGTGGGAGAAAATAAATAAGTGAAATTTACTCTGACCAAAACACATCTACTATCTTAGAGTGTATTGAGTAAAATTCTACTAACAAATATTTAACACCAGAAGTGATTACTTCATTTTTAAAACTGTTAAGTATTAAACAATTATTGTGTGAATCTGAAAGTGCAGGACGGGATTTAGTGTTTGAGAAGCTGCCGGTTGGATGAGTGGACTGTGTTTCCTGAGCTGAATTGAGACAGACTTCACCCTCCTTTATCCTGAGTTGGACCAAATGGAATAAAACCCCGCCCCCTCCATTCCACAGAGCCAACATATTAAACCCCCTTTTTACTTCTGTTCATCGGATGCTTAATAAATAGTCTGCTTGAATGATTAGCGTAATATAGATATTTTTACACATGTTGTATGTTTTGAACTGAACGCTAATACTCACTGAGCATGTCTGAAAGATTCATGCCCTGTGTTATTGTCTGCTTAAATCCTCTTTTTCCATCCAGTCTAACTCCCATTAAGTCATTATGTCCAGATTGGACTCATTTGATGAGATGAATGGAGTCTGGTGTGTTATTGCTTGGTTGGAAAGAAAACCTGCAGCCACATGACCCTTTCTGGAAGCAGTTTGACACCCCTGCTTTAGGGGCATTCTAAATGCCTAAAAAAATTAAGTTGATTCGAAAGGATTGTGTGATTCACTTTAGGTATTTTAATGTAACGGTACCTAATAAGGTCTCCAGTGATGGTAAGTAGATATGTCAAGAGCTGCAAGCGTGAAGACTCTAATTGATCTGTTTTCGTGAGGTTGAAGCTAAAAATGTGGAAACGTGTTTTGTTCAAGAATCCTTTTCTCTCTTTCATCAAATAAAAATTTGTGTTACAATGTATACTTTTATATAAAAAAATAGAAATGCACGTGAGTTTTCTGAGCTGGACTCTATTACGTGTTGTTTTTATTCAATTGTCAGACAAGGTCTGGTGTTATGATGAGCCTACTGCCATTACCAACCAGGAGGCTGAAATGGAAAAAGGACAAAAACTAAAGGAAACAGAAAAACAAAATAGATGGGAATAAACACCAGAAAAAAAATTCAATTTAAAAAGGAAATGATGAAGGAAACATGATGGATAAAAGAATCTGGACTTGGTCTTAGTTCTTCAGCTCTTAAGGAGGCAAGAAAGTAACAGATAAAGAGAAGCAACAATAAAGAAAAGATGGATTGCAGCATCTCCAAACACCAACAGGCTTCTAAGGGAGGATGGGGTACAGGAAGACATCTTCTAACAGAGAAAGGAAAACAAAATATTGCCTCCTCTGGTCTGTATCCTCCTGTTTTGAGATCTGAAGCCCAGTAGGTAATGTGTTGAGCTTGATCCATCGGCTCTGCCACACTTTTTTTCCTCTGACAGACTGCCTTAGCTCGCTCATTCACAGAAGTTCAGACACACTTTGAAGCATGGCTGAGCTGGTGCAGAATTTATGTACAGTGCCAGATCAACTTGTTTTAAGCTGGATCCACAGCACTGAGATTATCCGGATTCTCTGCACATGAGGAAATTGCCTGGCTGGGCTGCTAATCAGAAAACACCTCCATGCTGCAGTGTGACAAATGGGGCTTCAAACTGGGTTAATGTTTATGCCCAAAGTGGGGGTGGGGGGAGTTAAAGTTTGTTGAATTACTTGATCTGCAGTAAGGAGATACAGAACTAAAAAAAAAAACTCTACCAGGCTCACTCAGCTGATGGAATGCACTGCTTTGTTTTGCAGCAATATCAAAGACAAAATAAAACATGACAAAACACAGAAATAACTACTAGAACTACAAACTATATAAACACAATTTCCCATGAATCAAATGTATATACTAAGCCAAGGTGAAAGATTTACAAAATAAATATATAAAACATATAGAATTAATTTTCAATTTCATTAAATTTCGAAATTTGAAAAAAAATCTGTTGCACATAGAATGAAATATTCCTGATGTTTATCTATTATTTTGATTATTATGGTTTACCGATAATTCAAAACACAACATTTGATGTCTCAGAAAAAAAACAACATTGTAAAAAACCAACAGAATATTTTTTTAAAGTTTAGTGGAAGGATAAAGTGTTGCAGGAGAATGTTAATTAGCTTCAGAGATAACTACAGCCTAGTTGACTGTCCAACAAAATCCAGTCAGAAATGTAGGAGCTTTACTAGCTGTGATCAGAGGCTGTGATGGCACTTCAAGAACCATTAGGCATAGAAAAATCCTACACATGGGCTACAAATAGAGCATTCCTGCTGAAAATCCACTTATGAACCAGTGACAAGTCAATCAATCTGCTGGTATTGGTTCAAGTTGACAGTCAATGCAGCCTTACACTTCATTTCAGATCAACCTTTCCTCTAATGACAAGCTTATCTTAGATAACACTAGTCTAGC